ACAACTTGAGGCTCGCGGCTAGGAACATGCCCGGCAAATGCAGCAGCGACCATTGATGGACCAAATGATGAGCGGCGGCGGTGTGTCCGGTTCGAGTTGTTGACCACATGATATTTGCTTGCTTGCACGTGACTCATTCTTGCTTGTCGTGTTGTGTGATGTCGTTGACATGCAGTGCTGTCTTGCCGGAGTTGCTCAAATCATGTCAGAACAAGTTGTACAGACGTACATTACCTGGACCCATGGAGCGCAGCCGACGTGGTTGCAATTTCATGGACCCGGTGCTCTACTCGACAGACCCATTCGGCTGACTACGTCGCCTCCGCCCCCGCCAAGTCTGCCATTGCTTCTTCCACCTCCTCCTCCACCACCACCACCACCACCGGTGATTCTACACCCACAGTTTATGCCCTCGGTACGCAGCCCTTCGATCTCAGCCCCTCGCGGACAATCCTGCCCTACCTCTTCGAAATCGCAGCGCACACGCCGCTCGATCTACAGCACTGACCCTTCCCGTGATGAAGTACCACGCAGTCCAGGGCGCTCGTCCAAGCGATCTCGGACGGCATCAGCTTCAGCGCCGCGGCGATCTCGACGACCCTTTACAGTGTTTTATTCCAAACGTGCTGGCCGTCCATCGCAACCCCCATCGGCAACATGCAAGCATTACTGTCACGCCATCCTGCGCCATGGACGGAAATGTCTTTCCCCTTGTGCTCGTAGACGACCAGGTCACTATCATTGCAGGTGTGCGCGACATCAAAGACAGTGAAAGCCAGGTGTCGGACATTTCAGACCTTGTTGATCTGTTTCACCTTGTGTTTGAAAAGTTGCCTTGCTCCTCAGTGGATGTGTGCGGTTGGCCATGCATGTGTGTCCTTGCCGCAGACGTTCGATTGGTTTAGCAGTCGTGCAAGCCCGTATTGCTGCTATGAACCCCCAGTATTTCGAGTACCAGATCGATAGAGGAGTGGAATGGGTTCGAATTTACTCTCCGGGCATTTGGAGGCCCGTTCCTGAGGAGGCGCCAGTTCCGGACCCACTTTACGCTTCCACGTTTCGGGAGTGGCGCAGATCATATCACTTCCAAGTGTACTGGTCTGAAGACAGCACCGGAGGCACCACAATGGATCCTATAGCCACGCCCAGTTCCTATGTGTCCTATCACGTGTGGGAGTACCGAGACTGGCAAACGCGAGGGTACCAACGACTTGGACCTCCTGTCCAATCCATCGGACTCGCGATGCTCGCCAATGCAGACATCGAGTCCTCGGTGGGCTCGTCGGTACCGGATGGGGCGTGGCGGGAACCGACCGCCGCCATTCCATGATCCTTGGAATGATTCGGATTGACACTTCAGTAGCATGTTGGATAAAGATGCGGTTGTGCTTGCTTTGTATGTGAGTTCTCATTGGGTTGTCTTGCTTGGTGCTGTGCATGTTGTCTCTCTGTGTCCGCCGCTTTCCGTGAAAACTTTGAGCAGCTTGTCGGGCTGAAATGTTCAATAGTACGGTGCAGGGTGCAGCACGATGGGTCCTACCTCGCTATTTTGACTATGACATCGTCAATGGGCCAGCAGGAACGAGGGTGGAATGGATTCGAATCTATGTACCGGGTCAGTGGCATCCGGTACCCTGACACCCTGGGACCAGCCCCGGATGACCCGACCAACTATCGGGAATGGCGCAAGGTCTACCACTTCGAAGTGTACTGGTTCAGGGAAAGCACGGGCGGCACAACTACAAGCGCGGTTCTGCAACCGGTATCCTACGCCACCTTCTACACTTGGTATTACAGGGACTGGGTCACCAGGGGGTACCAACGCCTGGGTCGTCCACATCCCAGCATAGCGAGGCCAGTTTTCGCTTCGGGTGCACCGGACCTCATGTATGCTGGAATGACCTCCTCCTCGGCATCATCTAATTCACATGATAGCTGATGCCCGTCCTCGCCCCCCTGGAGAGTCTGACTTTGATGTTGACGCCGCACAGTGATACAAAAGTGGTCTTTTGCATTTTGATAGTTGATTTGCTTTCACTTGTTGTTGTCTGCAGCCGTACACCTATCAACTTGTCTTACCGTGGTTGCGGTGTCATGGCGTGGCTGGAATGGTGCCCGGATCCTCAACAACCAGATGCCCAGTGGGTCAAGATCTTTCATCCGGGACCATGGACGCCTCAAGAAGAACATGATGCTCCACCTCCTCCGCATACTTTTAGAGAATGGCGGGAGTTCTATGCTCCCAACCAGGACTCAGTCGAAGGGCAAGTCCAAGTCACTACGTGGTACAAACGAGACTGGGCCACTGAAGGCTATCGGAGAATCGCTGCCCCCCACGCTGGTCATGAATTTGATTCCATGTATCCCTCCGATCACCACAGCGTGGCCACGCAGTCTGCGGCATTGAGTATGTCACCGGAGCTGTTAGACGCGATTTTCAGGTCCTCGGATGCGGCTGATTTCTCCACTGAAGAACTGACTCGTCTCCAGGAGGGGATTTCTCAACAACTGACAGCCCGCGCACGTCAGGCTTCCCACCCTCATCAACCAGTACGTGCATCGCGTGGAAACACTCCGTCGGAGACGATTGGGGTCTCCGATCCCTACAGGCCCGTGAATCCGTCCGACAGCGGCCAAGACAAGATGAGGCCCGTCTTCGAGCTGACTGAAGACTAGACATGCATGAGCAGCGCAGCGTACAAAATAAGGGTGGCCTCTACACTTGCATGATCTTGCTTTGCTGTTGATTGAACATGGTTGTGCATGGTGCTTGTTTATCTACTAGCTGGATCGGAGCCCGTGACCATCCTTGCCTCTTGCCTCAACATGGACATCGATGAGTCCAAGCAGTATCCATGGCTCGAATATTCGGTCTGGCATGATCAGGAGTGGGTGCGGATATACACTCCGGGAAAACCTCAACGATGGCACCGTGGTGACACCGTACCTGATCTACCTGAAAATTCTTTTCGTGAATGGCAGCGGGTGACGGATCCTGATGCGCCAGTCCAGGCATGGGACATCCGTGACTGGCAACACCAAGGGTACCAGCGCATTCTGTCTCGGATTGAGTCCTTCGCAACTCACTATTCACATGATCAGACTCTTGGTCAAGGTCACAACTCCGATGCCGTTCACGTTGAGGAGACCTTTACCTATGCCACTCCGTTTTCTCATGGTGATCGCCCGGCTGCTTCGCAGGTCGCTTCAGTCCTCTATGGCGACACTCGCAATGCTCAACGTTGTGATCTTTCGTTCCCGTCTTCTGAGCGGTTTAGGGCAGTGTCTCGCTCCCCTCGCCGTGGAGGATATTTTGGTCAACGATAGAGATTTGAGTTTGAGCATGTGATCTTCCTGCAGAAAAAGAGAAACCTCGCCCCTCGTAGAGGGGCGTGTGTGTGCGGAGTGGCAGAAAACCCTGCCACCACAACAGTTTCCGTAGCAGCAGGGGCAGGGGGGCGATGGTTCCTTTGGTGTGCATCGCCCAACGAAGACCGCACCATTGGATCGTGAAATCAGTCCAGGACGCTGGACTGACGTACCTGCCGTGATGCAACGTCCTTTTGGCCCCCTTGGTTGCGGCGCTGTTTGTGCTTCTTGTTCTTTCGGGTAACGTTTTCGACACTAGAGTGAAACCGAGTGTATTGCAAGCCGAATCCCACCCACTCGAGACTCATCAGTTGTACTCGAGACTCATCAGTTGTACTCGAAAGATTAGCACTCTCCATCTGGAGTTTAAGTGTGTGCGGGTGTGCGGGTGTGCGGGTGTGCGGGTGTGCGGGTGTGTGTGTGTGTGTGTGTGTGTGTGTGTGTGTGTGTGTGTGTGTGGTGTGTGTGTGTGTGGTGTGTGTGTGTGTGTGTGTGTGCGTGTGTGTGTGTGTGTGTGTGTGTGTGTGTGTGTGTGCGTGTGTGCGTGTGTGCGTGTGTGCGTGTGTGCGTGTGTGCGTGTGTGCGTGTGTGCGTGTGTGCGTGTGTGCGTGTGTGCGTGTGTGCGTGTGCGTGTGCGTGTGCGTGTGCGTGTGCGTGTGCGTGTGCGTGTGCGTGTGCGTGTGTGTGTGGTGTGTGTGTGTGTGTGCGTGTTGCTTGAGGCTAACCGGCTAACCTTTTTAGCTTGGATTACGGGGTTCGGAAACCACCCCTTTTTGGGCTGCCCCTGTTCTAATGCGCACGCCGGGGATGCTCATCTTGAGACTTTCCCACGGTTTCAAAGCACGGGTTCATTTTCGGACTGGTTTTTGTTGACCCTGCTCGATATGTTCAGGTTCACATGGATCAGAATCTAAGCATATCACGTTTGGGGGGCCAAGAGTGGTAGAAGCCATTGGGGCCCTAGGGCATATCTCCACGAGGATGTTTCACTTACACATGTGTAAAGCACTGGTTCAGCCCTGGTGACGAGCAACGCTGGATGTTGATTGTATTGCCAGTTCCGGAGACACAACCAATAAGTACATGCCTATTGTATCTATATATGCATATACTTGCTCTCACGTGGTTGGCGAACCCAGGCTTGTAAACCTGTCAAAAATCGTTGCACGAAGGCTTCATCCTCTGGCGGTGCTGTGAGGCCAGATCCGTGTTTGGTTGAAAACGGGCCAATGCCAGGATCTTCATGTTCCTCAGCCAAGTGGATTCCACCCTCCGTTTTTTTTTTTTTGTGGGTGTGTGTGTGTGTTGTTTTTTTCCGCCCGACTGTTTGACTTTGAAGTCAGCCAAACAAGAAAGAGTGCCCTTTGTGCCCGGGGAAATACACTGAGCTTGCGGCCGTTGTCATTTGGCCGTTGTGTCTGCCCGAGCACAGGATGTCTTTGAGATAAGGGCGTTTACAAGCAGACTAACAAATGTGCATGCATTTCAGCCAGAGCAACATGCTGCATGTGCATGCGGAAGTTAAACATGTATGATACCATGTGAATGACAACGTTGCTGCGGTACACGTAAATAAACTTCGGCAACGACGCAGACATGGCCCGGCATGGTGTGCCATGCAACTTCGCCCCATGTCGGCCTATGAGGTGCTAGGTATCCAGGCTTCAGCGCGAGATGGCGAGATCCGGGCCGCCTACAAGCGCCTGGCTCTCCAGCTCCACCCGGACAAAGGCGGCTCCAAGGCCGCGTTCCAGCGGGTGGCGGCGGCCTTCGAGCAGTTGGCGGACCCTGTGCTGCGCAAGGCCTACGATGAGCGAGCGAGGCTGGAGGGAGAGTGAGAGAGGTGGATCACAGAGGTCTGCAAGGCTGTTTTCAACGCTTTCTTTTGAAGGAGCCAACCATGAAACAGACGTCTACAAAGCAGGTTTATTTATATCACCCCTTTTGGTGCTTTCAAACATCACCGTTCGGCCGATGGGACCACCGGGGTTGCAGTTCGGGAGCCCTCGGGTTGCTGTTTCAAGAGCTCCACCACTGCGAACACGCATGAGATTTATCGGTACCAGTCTCCGAGTTTGGAAGGGTTTGCGTGCTCCGGAACGACCATGCGATCAGAAGGTCTTGTCTTGCTGAGCATGCTCACAGGAGGGTACCAAGGGACACATTGAACGATTCCAATTCAATTACTTGACAAGTTACAGTTGAGCAGAACTGTAAAAGAAGATGGCTCAATTCCCCCTGTCGTTGTTTGGGCATCTCCTTTACCACGGGAATTGCGCCACCCACTTTGTTTGTGCCTAAGGGGAAAGGGGAAAATCCCGAAGCAGGCCCCCAAGCCCATGGGGACTCAACCAACCAAGTGACTTGTCTAGGCACAGAGAATTTGATTCAACATGCAGGTGAATTTCTTGCAATATCAGAGCCTCCTCAGCACAAAACCCAAAGACACGTAGGAATCAGCCGGGGTTTTGACACCAAGTCCCAGGGACCGTGATGATACTTGTTTGGGCTCAGCTTTCCACTGACATAGTTCCTTTGAGTAGCGCCGATATCAGCCCTCAACGGGTGTGCTTCTTCCCCCGCAAGTGCGTCGGGCAGGTCCCCCCGATTCGGCGATTCGGCCCAGGCGTGCAGCGTGCAGGGCCTCGAAGAGGGCGCCCAGCAAGAAAATGAAGCGCGGCTCGAAGCAGGGCGTGCAAGAACAGGAACGGCCGCATGCGCCGAAAGCGCCGAAAGCGCAGCAGAGCACGCCGAACACAGAGGGCGCCAAGAGGGACAGAACAGACCACTTGTTGAAACAAGTGGCGAAGATGCTGAAGAGTCTGGCAGTTGAGAAGCGGAAGGATGTCATAAGTAGGCGCCTGTCCCAGAGACAACGATTGGACTTGGAATCCTTTATGACACGACCAGCTGGCAGAGATAATAGTCGTCGCGGCTCAGAGCTTGTGGAGCAAGATGGCTTCAGCTCCAGCAACGAGGCGCACACGCTGGCGCTGTGTGATGAGATATCCGAGGACGAAGCCGCGGAGCTTTCGCCTGAGCGCAGCTGTGAGACTACAAGCAGTGAGCGGCTCAGGATGGGGCCCAAGCATCGAGATCTTCGGGGCACTCGTGGCTTTTGGGGCTACCAGAGTGGGGGCAAGCAGTATTACTACGTGCAAGTAAGCATGGGCTGGCTTTACATGCAAAGCTGGCAGGTCAAGAGTGTGGAAGATGCGGTTGAAAGGCATGTGGTTCTCATATGCATTCTGGATCACATGCGCAAGAGTCCAGCTGCTAATTGGAACGATCGTGTGCAGTGCGCCGTGAAGGAGGTGATACAAGAGTTTGGGAAGCAGCCTGAGGAGCTTAAGATTAGCTTTCGCCTAGTGGTGCCTTCTAGCTATTGGATCGGGCGTTCACTTTATACACCCACCTTCCGAACAGAAGATCTGGCGCTTCTTGATGAGCCCTTGTCAAGACTCCGGGCTGCTCGCGGGATCACCAAAAGAGGGGACAAGTCTCATCTATGTTCCCCCACGCAGCTAGAGCACATGTGGCTGCAGATCAAGCAGGCCTACCTGGATGTGCTGGCCAAGTTTGGCAAGGACACGGTGCGGGCGGCAGCGCAGCTTGACCTACTCTTCTCAAAGCAGGAGCCTCATCGGGAAGAAATTTGGCGGCGACAGAACGAGCGCTTGATGCGCCGCGCAGAGAAGGAGCAGGTCCTTTTTGAGCAGCGCAAGCGGAAGATGGATCTGCGGGCGCAGGCTCGCAGCGACCGAGACCAAGAGCGTGAGATGTGCCAGGAGCCATGGGCTGAGCGTTTAAGCATGTGGCCACTGCTGTTTGCACCCGCCTCCGATTAAGGGTTTCAACAAATGTTGCCCAACCCTGCCAGGAACGCCTCCTCCAGCGCTTGGATTCCGTCCTGGCATTGTGGGCGCGGAAACTTGAGCGACAGCAGGCAGCAAGTCGGCGGCAAGCCGATCGAACACGCAAGCTCGCCCGGCGGAAGGGAGCAGCGCGGAGGCAGAAGAAAGCACCGAAAATAGGAAGGCCGCACGGGTGGGGATGTTGGCTTGGCGCTAATCTTTGATTCACATTTGCTGCAAAGAAAACGTGCACTTGTTGCGAGCCTAGTCATGGTCCAACAGATTACACTTTGGTATTTAATCCTTTGGCGGGCAGACGCCCGTGTGTTTGTTGCCTTTGCGTACTTGTGTTTGCAGTTTGCGCGATTACGGGCACTTGTTGTTGCTTTTCATTCTAGTGTCCACTTTTAAAAACTTGCAATTCATTTGGTCATTGCACGAATCATGAAAGGATACAAATGAAGCCCGATGACCCATAAGTCACTGCCACTAGCCGGACGCATGTTTCAGTCTGACTGTCGGTAGGCGTTGGTGTTTGATTCCACATAGCACTAGCCCCATGGGCGAGAAAGATGTTCAAATGAGCAGAGTTTGTTTCTGCTATGTATCGCTATGTATTCGGGGGAGACTCTCCTTATGCCGCGGAGGACCACGTAGGCAATTCGGGTGGGGAAAGAGGGTCGCGTAGGCAGTTCGCGTTGGCATATGTTGCCTTACACATTGCGCAGGCGTGGCTGCCAGTTTGCCGATGCCGATACACAACAACATATACTCAAACGGGGGAAGAGGCAAACTGCTGATCACTTCCAAGACACTTGGGCTACTGGCTTGATGAACTAGCTGCTCTAGCCTGAGTCAAATATTCGCCGTTTTCCCCAAGTCTGGCACACCCCAAGGCGTCCACGACTTTGGGTACAGCCTACGGCTGCTGCGCCAGAAAGCGCCTGGCACGCGGCGCCTGCCGCCATCGCGGCACTTCCTGGTGCGGCGCACTGCAAAGGGGAGGCGAGCTTGTGCGCGGAAAAACCGTGAACTGCGGTTTTATGTTGAGCCCTTTTTTGATATACCCGCCCCATGAATAGGGGTGTTCCCCTCCAAAAGTGATGAACCCCCGCTAAAAAGGGGACGCCCCCTATTAGTATGGGAATCAACCATACAGATGAGGCGGAAAGAAGGACATGCGGGATGAAAGGAACTGAGAAAAGGCGAAGATGGCGACACGCTACATCGGACATGGAAGCAGACAATCGATGAGTCTGCACTAATGTAGTTCAAGGCTTCACTTGCCCGAATCAAAGGTTTTCCGGGCGCACCCAACCAGCCAGCCAACCAACCACCAGTCAGCCATCTACATACTCAAGCAAGCTCGTTTGCACATCCCAGGCCAAAACATCCACGCCAAACCAAGCCAGAATAAGTTGTCACCAGCTCCATCCTATTCCTCTCGATTCCATGTCTCTGCACCATGAACGAGCCCACCGATTCACGCGGCAAAAAGAGCTCACCCATTGTTTCTGGTTTGGGAACCAGCCTGGTTTGGGTTTCCTTATATCTCGTGTGGTTTGAGAATTTCTCTACCCCTTTGCTACTGGTTTGGGAGCACAGCATGGCATAATGTTTGTTTGACGATGTCTGGTTCGTTTCGGGTCTTTGTGGTGCAACCAGGTGTGGTTGGACGTGTTTGTTTTTGCCCAGATCGTGCAGGTCCTTTTTTACCGGCAAGCACTGCAGCCACGTGGAGGGCCTCAGCACGGCTTCTGGCCGGCGCTTGGTGAGGCAGGAGCGGTAGAGAGGATAGAATAAAGGTACCCTTTTCTAGCCGCGCCTGGTTAAAGGTGAAAAGACCCCCGGCTTTGGTGGGCGGTTGAAAGGGAAGCAACTCTTGTGTGCGGGGACGGGGGAACACCAACCTTTGGAGACACGCAGGGAATGACGGTCCCATCCGTGTCAGTAAGAATGCTCCATGTTTCCGGGGTCATTATTTTGATGGTTTCTGGGGGTTATCAAAGTCAGAAAATGGATTCGGTTTTTTGCCTTTAACCCACCACTTAGGGGGTGACTTTGAGGGCCAGTGTCTGGGGGCAATCCCGGGTTCCTTCTCATCGAGAAGGAAATGAGACGAAAAGGGCGACTGTATCAAAGTCCTGTCCGTGTACCGTTGCTGTGGGCGAGCATCTAGGTGGGTTTCGCCGGCCAGGAGGATCAACAGTCACATCACCCAGCCCCAGCATCTTGACTCCAGAAGCTGAAGATTGATGCCGAACACTCGGCAAATTATTTTTTGCACTGTACAGGGCTCTTGTCAAGGTGGCTGGCTTGCAAGCACCAAGATGCCATTGTTCTGCAAGGCTTCGAATATCCCTCATTGAGGTGCATCCTTGACAGAGCCCGCAGCCCTGCGAGCCTCTCCTGTGGGTTCAGGCAATGGGGCACTCAGAAACTTGATATCCAAAGCCTTGAAATCGAAAGAAGCGTCATTTTGCGCAAGCACCATTTTGGTTGGTGGTTTCAAGGAGCCCAAAGAGAACCAGCAAGGATCCAGGTGCCTGTGCTTGCCACATGTCTTGCCCAGTGCCTCAAACATCTCCACCGGCTTGTTGGATTTCCCATTTCATGCAAGTAGACCTGTCAGGAGTGATGAAAAGTAGGCTTGAGTTCCTCACTTGTCAAGCTCGGGACGTGAAAGTGAACTTTTCAAGTGGATATCTACACATGTTGTTTGGGTTACTCTTGCCAGCATTTGCCCACCGGAGAGTCTCAATGAGACCACTGGGATACTGCCAAGTTGTAATGTCCTTTGCAGGGGGATGTCATGCCAATTGAGTTGTTGCCGAGGTTCATTTACCGCCACGTGTGGTCACCCGGGGATGTGGTGCTGTGTGACAACCGCAGCTGCTTGCACCGGGGCCGACCCTGGACATTGCCGCATAAGACGCGGCGGATGATTCAGCTAGTCAAGATAGCAGAAGGCGCGGGTCGGGTAGGGAGGTAAGCTTCTCAGAGCGGCGCCATGGTTGCTTGGCTCTCTTCTTTCTGTTTCAGAAGCAAGACACCCAACCAGCAGAATGCAGCTTGAGATTGCCTCTGCGGAAGGCTATCAGAGTTTGCGTGCATTGGAGAGAGATTGGAACAAGTCGCCCAGGCTAAGAGAGCCATGTCCGCCACGTGCAGTTTTAGCAAACGTTCAGATGCGCTCGCCCACACGTTTGGCCTTTCTTTGTCCCGAAATTTGGTGAGTTGAAAGCAACTGGCCTTGTGGGAAAGCTTCTGGTTCAACTAGTGCTTGCTAGGGTGCAACGGACCAAATCACAACCAGGTGGCAATGGTGTTACTGTGACCCTCTCGCCAAAAATCTGGGCAGCACGTAGCGACCTTCTCCATGGCCCGGTTGAATGACTGGCCATGATATAATCAACTCATGGACTCCATCACGTTGAAGCCATAGTTGGCTTCAGTTGAAGGGAGAACGACCACTATATACATGTTATATCATGGTGTTCCTTTCTTTCTCTCTCGACTACGCGGTGTCATGATTCCAGCCTGGCGCGGCGGCGGCTCCGTTTCCCAGGCCGCAACGAGATCGCAGCGGGTCTGCGGGACAGCCGTCCGCACGCCCAGAGGGGTTTCGGAAAGAAACATTCGGGGTGGGTCTGAGTGCCAGGCAGACATCTTGAGGCTTCTCAGATTTGCTCCTTGGGGGGAAGGGAGGGGGGTCCCTTTAAACTATGGCAGAAAAACATGTTGGTTGCTCTAAAAGGGATCCTTTGAAACTCCTTTCACCTGGCAATGGAAGCAAGTGTTTCACAGCAGGATTGCGAGAAGTCCTAGTCAGGTTGATCAGTGGCCCCGGCAAGACCTTGGAGTCGTTGCAATAGTCAGGCAAGCACCAATCGATGATTTCAGGTGGCAGATTTCAGTGAGAACAGTCTGTCGCTGTGGTCACAGTCTGGCAGCCCCTTCTCGAGCTCAGCACAGTCTCGGTTCAAAGGCTGATTTGTCGCTGCAAATCTGGGTCTCCCTCAGAGTTTTGAGAAGCAGATTCCTTGCGCAGAATCACAAGCTGACATGTCGCCGCGCCTGGCACGCCATGCCTAAGAAGCTGTTTCTACATGTCCCCCGCTCGCCCCGTTTTGCCACTGGATAACTCACGTGCCGTCAGATGCGCTCCTACGGCGGCTTCAGCTGCATCCGGGCGCTGTAGCAGAGGCCGGAGAAAGCGGAGCCGTTGATTCTACGTTTGGCTCGGCTTCTGTACCAAGGGGTTGTGCTAGTGGCAACCAGAGGGCGGAGCCTTTGTTCAAATGTGCTTAAACTGTTTGCTTGTTCAAACACAGTTTGCCCAAGCCTGGTGGCAACAGCCTGAGGTATGAGACACAAATTGCACTGTTGGCCTGATGAAACTCGCACTTGCTCAAGATTCTACAGGACGATCAAGACATGGAACCATCAGGGATCAAATGATGGAATGATAATGATTCCTTCGCATTGTCCAGCACCAGCTGATTTTCTGACCGGTGCGGCTCAATCGCTTCCTAGTGCAAATCCCCCTTTGTCGTAGCAGGATTGTGCAGGGTCTCTCCGTCCCTCCTGTTGGTTCTTTCTTCTACGGTAACAAGTCTTAGTTGGATTCTGAAGTTGGTGGTATCATTCACGGCATGCAAGACATCTTAAAGACAGAGACTCCCCCGCAAGTTAACAAGAAGCCACAAAGGTCACACAAGAGGAGCTCCTCTAAAGATCCCACTTTGTGAGGTTCCATGTGAATCTGCAGGAGAGTGTCCACTGGTCCCGTCGCTCCAATTGCCGTCAGGCTGCTCCCTCCATATTGGAGGAGGAGGCCTTGCAGATGCTCGAGGCAGTGGGTTGGCAGGAGGGGTGGGAGACGCGGAGAAGCCGGGGGGGCTGCGGTCAGTTGATGAACTGACCGACGTATCGCCGCACCGACCCGCCCACCCCACCGCCAACAACACCACCAGAATCAACACCGGCAACAACACCAACAACGCGAAGGAGCCACAAACGAACGAACAAACGAGCGAACAAGCAAACAAACAAGCAAGCAAGCAAACAAACACACAAACAAGCAAGCAAACAAACAAACAAACAATCAAACAAACAACCAAACAGACGACAATGACAACAAACCTCTTGGGAGAATAGCAGCGTGGATGGCGTATCCTGACAAAGGGCCGCTGCCAAGCTTGCCCCAAACAGATATTCTGAGATGACTGCCGTTCGTTTGGCAAGACCAAGTCTGTGGAAATCTGTGGGGGCCTCTGATTGTTGTCCTAGCATTTGCTGCATGGCTTGCCTTGCAACCCGCTGCCTACGCATTATCGTTTGGCTGAAGGAACAAACAAGCTTTATCCAAGCAACGTCGGGGCCCATTTTTTAGCCTTGCTCGCGCCCTAGCAATATGTACGCAGGCTCAAAGCTCAGCAGTTGAGATCGGATCGATCCAACGCACCCCCATGCGCCGCCGCAGGAGCTGCAATGTGCCGAGGGACAAGGCCAAATGCCGCCGGCCCGCAGAATTAGGATTTTTTTGTGTTTTTGAGCAGTCTCCTTGCCAAGTAAGCGGCCTTCGCTGCAACAAGTCCGTTGCATCCCACTTTCGTATGTGGGCTTGAGGAATGGCCCCCACCTTGGTCCCTCATACCTGTAGGGGTCATGCCGATGTGAGGAGGCCAACCCAGCAACAAAGTCTTGAGTAGCTGGTTCAGGGAAGGCGCCGCCTGAAAGCCTTTCGTCCAGCGAGAATGGTTTTGGTATGTGGTTGCATGTAGTGGCTTGCGCATGATTCTCCCTTGAAGGGAGAACCCCACATGAGCAGGTCACCCTTTGCATCCTGCCCCCACTCGCTTCACACGCCCAGGTATTGTCGTCCTGCCCTTGCGCGCAAAAAAAGTGCCATCTGGCTAGCAGCCGCCTGCTCTGTGGCAGCGCATGGCTCCTTCTTTGGCTTTCCTCCCCCAGAGAGATGTGTTTGTTGGCAAAGAGCTTTGTTTGCCTGCTGCCTTTAATGGGGCGAGCAGGAGAAGAGTAGCTATTCAACATTAGGGTTGTTGTTTTCTTCGGGGCCAAAAGCAATGGATCGATCCACCAGCCATTGCTAAGTATGAGTAAGAATTGTGTAAGGTGGTTGTGACAAGAAGAGCCCTCCCCCCCTCCCCCCCCCCCCGCACGGAATAGTCAGCTTCCTTTGGTGTCCTTCAAGAGTGATTATTTGTGCGATCAAACCAAACCAAGCATCCCTTCGATTAATCGAAAGGCAACAGCCCAACCATAGCCAACGGCTTTAAACCTATTGAAATAGCCGGTTGCGCAAATGCCACCGCGCATTTATTTCGGTTGAACCACCAAGCCCTGCACGCTTTTGCAGGGGTTCCGGACAGGCGCGGAAGGCCTTTGCGCAGATTTTGGAGGAGAAGCTCCAGCCCAGCGCCGGGAGGCCCAAAGGCGAGCCGGGGATGTGTGTGTGTGTGTGTGTGTGTGCGCGTTGTGTGTTTGTTTGTTGTTTGTTTGTGTTATGTATTTGTTTATTTACTTATTCTTTTTTTGGGGGGAAGGATGTGTGTGTGTGTGTGTGTTTTTTGGGGGGCACAAACTGAGAAAGCAGCATGAGACTTCGGCATTTCGAGGGGTGCCCCCTTTGTCTTGGGGCACCTTCCCAGAGTGCACGAAATGGTTTGGAACTCCTTCAAAAAAGGGCTTGTGTTGCTTTTCCTTGTGGAGAAACATCAGCACAAGAAGCTGTCTCCAGTAGATGTTTGAGCAAAAGACCGTGCCCAAAAACACTACCAAACTAACGACCTCGTGCGCTTCTTGCAGCGTCCTGTGTTTCAGCGCAAAGTGGGCCCCTCTTTTCTGGAAGGGTTCTCAGGGCCCACATAGGTTTCCAAGCCTTTTGCTATACCCTGAGTGAGCTGTTCGGCCACTTCCCAGCTTTTCAAAGTTCCACGTGGATCTGTGCCCTGAGGACCCCACCCGATTCAAGAGCTGAGGTCAATGAACTTGTCCAAAGTTCGAAGGGGCCACACCCACACACACACACACACACACACAAGCACACACAAACACAGCCTGGGGAGTTGATGTCCCATTTGTTGTGCCTCTGAAACTTTGCAAAGAGGGCAGTCATCCCCAAACTCATACGTCCAAGTCAGCCAACATGTGAAAATCGGAGTTTGGTTCGAGGTGTAAGCTTGTTCGATCTTGTTCGTCATGCTCAATAGGACGAAGTGTCCTACGCTAGTTTGGCTCTTTTGGTTCACCAAAGAACTGCTCAAAGCAATGTGTTGCTCCGACAAGTGCCAAGGAGCCGACCGGCAACTGTGGGCTGGGATTTTGCCAGAGGCCCTGTGCCCTCCGAGAAATCTTCTGTGGGCCTGTGGACCCAGCCAACAGCCGCTGGCAGAAGTTCTAGATCAAGGTCTCCGTGCAACCACGAAAAAGGAGTTCCCCCCAGATTGGTCGACAGTAATCATAGGGCTCGAATTGCTGTACCCAAATGGGCATGTTTTGATGGAGACCCACCGTTTGCAGGGAAACCAAAAGAAATCCAACCGGTCGCACGAGGCCCAAACCTTCGGCGCGCTGGTGAATGCGTCAGTGCGTGTGGGGGACCTGGCAGAGGCGGGGCAGTCGAAAGGAGGCAGAGGCGCGGGATGCCTTTGGCGGGGTTTGCTTTGGAGGCCAAAACAGCCATTTCTGCTTCTGTGCTTTTATCTGGCTTAGACTCTCCCTTAGTCTGACGTGTCAAATCTGAAGCATGTTCAGCTGCCTTGCAACATGCCATGCATGCCGCAGAGGCAAGTTGCTAGTTTACCCAGAGGGAGAGTGGGAGGCGATTTGTCCCCGATGCTGGCCGTAGCAGTCGTCTTCGGGCAAGCTGGCCTGGCAAATGCACGGCCACAGCTCTAGGTCATGGCTGTAGGAAAAGATTCGGGCCATTGCCATGTGCCGTAAGAGGTCTGCATGTCTCTTGAGCAGAACCTGCCAAAATGCAAGGGCAGGGTCAACAATTCCACTACAGCCCCAAGACAAGCCAAGCAGTCGGGGGTTGAGCATCAGGGGATCCCTGGCTGCTGGAAACTGACATGCGCCCAATAAACGTGGTGACGGCCTTTTGCCCGAGCTTAGCGTTTGTGCAATTCCATGTGCTGGGGCATCCATGCTTCTCCCACAAGCAAATTGTGTCCTGTGTGGGGTTCCGGTGAGGTTTCTCTTGCTGCTCCCCGAATCACGGACCTTCTATAAGGGGCACTAATGAGGATCAGGTGTGGTCTGCTTGACAACCCGAACGAGTCATGATGGACTATGATATCTATAATATTACATATAATGATGATGATAGTAACAACAATAAGACCCCCCAGTTCCGGTCCGGCGAGTTTCCAGGTCCCATGCACCCGACAGGCGCGGCGCTGGCTGGATGAGTCCCAGCGCGCCGGGGTGAATCCGGGCGCCGGGGGGCCCAGCGCCAGGCAAAGATTCTCATCAAAGCGGCGGGGACCCCGTCCTTTACCATTTGTGGGGAGTATTTGCAGTGACGTGTTCGACAGCAGAGCCACAATCCAAACCGGGGGAATTGGAGGGTAGTCCCAACCTTTTATATAGGTCCCAGTTGGCCATTTGATTTGAATGAGCAAATTCGCAGGTCCACCTTGTTTTGTCCAGACCTCTTGCACAAATGACAGTGATGGTCCTTGGCTGACGGGTGAAGAAAGATATGTGAAGGTTTACTGTGGAAGGGGTTTTGAAGTGGTCGTTTGGCGAACAGGTGCAAGTCCATTGGCAGGACTTCAACCGTGAGCGCAGGGAAGAGGAGTGAGGGTGAAGCCACCAGTTGGCAGGCTATTGTGCATGGTGTTCGAACGCTGTAGCAGAACACAGTTCGATGTGAGCAGAGTGATTGTCTGCATGTTTGTTCTAGATGCACGGTCCCATTCTCTCAGGAACATGATTGTTGGAAAATACCTATGCCAAGTGAAACCAGCCTTTGGGACTGTCGGTTTTGAGATATTACTTTATTTGAATATGTGTACATATATTTGGCGGGGGGGGGCTGTCCTGCGGACAGAAGAAGCAATGTTGGCTTGAACAAGATGCACGCATCGAGCATGAGCGCCTGTCCAGGAAATAACCCATGCACAAGCGATAGCTTTTAGGACTGCCAGGTACTTGGTTTGAATCGGCTCGTTCAAGACTAGGCTAGCTGTGTGTGGCCTAGACTCAGTGCCCCCAGAGTCTTGGACATCTATCGTGGAATTGCAGTTCCACAAAAAACATGGTCAGCCAATGGGCTGGTGAGCTGACATCCTGTTCTAATCTGAAGCAATGGAAGCTGACCACCTCGCCTCTGTGCCAGAGCTGGTATGAGGAGGTCTCCTTCGGGAGAGCGTTTGCAACTTGCGAGGTGTCCTCCATCCAAAAAGGAAGAATGCTGTAGCGGCTTTCAGAAAACAACTTGGACCTTCCTCCCCCCCCCCTCCCGGTACCTCCCGTTCACGTCGTCTTCGGCGCTTCGCAGGTGGTCGCCTACACCACGCTGCTCAAAGGCCTTTGCGAGTCCGGGCAGATCCCCGAGGCCCAAGAGGCGGGTCTGAAGCGGCAAAAGCTGCGCGTTTGAGCCGCTGTGAACGCACCTACCAGATGGATTGAAGGCTTGGGTGTGTCTTTTCTTGGGGGAACCCCCTTTTGGTTGGTTTTAAAGGGAAACCAAAGGAAAACAGCATTGTTAATTGTTTGTTTCTTTTTTGGATGGGTGTGCCCCAAAAAGACACCCATCTTAAGGGTCCGCTGCTTGGCACAGGCGCAGTTTGCCGTGTTATCAGATTACAGTGACAGACGTCCACAGCAAAAGCGCGATCGCATGTTTGGGAACCAGCAAGCAATATGCCCCAGGCCTTAGGTACCCATTTGGCTGGCTTGCACGGGGTGGGTTTAGAGGAAACACTCGAGAGTCTGGGTCTTTGGGTACTGCGCGTTGTGAACATCAGCCCCCTGTCAGTCAGAAAGGCTGTAGCACCCTTTGCAGATCCTCGACGCCACTATCTGACTGGTCATTGCAGGCAAGCTGAGAAGCAGGTTTCAGCATGTTGAGACTCGATTTGCCGTGTTTCTTCAAAGTCAATAGTGCAGTTATTTATGGACGGCTCTTCAATTAACTTAGCACACAGAATGAAGGAACCAGGCCGATATGAAGTCGAATAATCTGAGAATTTAGATATCCCATGACATTTTGATGCATCAGACTCCCTACCAGGCACTGGACGGCATGGTCCAGGCCGGGTGCCAGCCCAACATCCGCACGGCCAACACGCGCCTGGGCTGAGTTGCTGTTGGAGCCGTTGCCAGTGGCCGAGCCAAGGAGTCACGTGACAGGGCCCGCAAGAGGTGAAGATTCGGACAATGAAACATAGCATTCACCCCCACCCCCACCCCTTTCCCCCCCACAACCCTCATTTTAAAACAGGGGAAGGGAGGTGGGGTGGGTGGAGCTGAATCCCATGAAAGAACTACTGCTGAGGGGCGTTGAGCAAATGGCGATCTCACAGCGTCACAAAGATTTGCCACCCGCCCCATGATGAGGCGTTCCTTAGGAAGTCTTTTTCCTAGCCGGGACAGATGAATTGGAATCGTTCATTCAGATTTGATTCTGACCGGTTGCCGTTTCATGTGTGTTGCTTGTGGTTTTGGTTGTGCTTCCCTGGAGGTTGCCTGCACATGTTGGCTTAAATTGTCCGATCTGGTGCTGCATGAGCGCCGTTGGTGTGAGGCATGGGCCGCCAGGCCTTAAACATTGGGAGCCAAGTTGAAGAATTGACCCACGCCTTTGACGCTCACGGCATTCCAGCGGCTGGTTGGAAGGATTTCCTCACCCCCCTCCCCGCCTTTTTGTTATGCTTTCCGGATCCCAAGGCTCCTGCGAGGCAGACTGGGTGGGGTTGGCTTGGACGGCTTTGGTTTGCAAAGATTCCCATTGCTCGGCCGAGGGAACAAGCCAAGCTCTAGTGAAAGGAGTACCACACAGGCCCATGTAGACCTCTTTGGCACAAGCGCGTTAGCTCTGCGTGCTGCGCGCAGCTACGTGCAGTGCCAGAGTTGATTGGATTGGGCTCTTCAGTTTTCTCCAACTGAGTTGGCATCCAATGTGCAACCCCTCAGCTTTGCTCATGGCTCAGAGTCAGAAATCAAGGCTGCCACAGGCCCGTCACTCAGACAGCATTTTGTCATTGGTGTTGGTGTGCTGTGTGCCACCATTTTGGCCATTTAAAGCTGCCAGACGGCTGGCCAGGACCGCCTGGCATTTGATGAAAGGCTTAGATGGTTTGGACTCAATTGCCCGAGCTAGACAAATCACCTCTCGCCTTCGGGCTCCAAACCGATGCTGAACGCCTGTGGTACTTCGCCCAAAAAAGATCGCTCCAAACATGATTTTGAGGGCTTCCATGTCAATCCGCAACCTGCTGGCCTTGGACATTCCAATCTGCAGGAGCTGGGAAACTTTGACGGTCCGATTCTGCAGATTCTTGCCAGGCCTGCGGCGCGCGGGGGAGGTGGATGCCGCCGAGACCCTGCTCAGGAGCCGGCCGGCATGTTGGTGGCAGCGGGGCAGCCCTGGAAGTGAGGATTCTCATCTTGATGCAAGGTTCAAGATTCGACTCGGCTGGCTGCAGTCCAGCTTTTGTTTCGTCACTCCGATACTTGCATACTTGCACGGTTTTTATGTTCTTGGTCATTGGTTGTGGATGCATTATAGATATTTCCATGCAGATGGTAGCTTGCTTGTTCAAAAGAGATCATTGCCTGTCTTGGTGCCGGTGCAAGGGCATCAATCAAGGTGTGTAGCGTTCCGTTCCGCACTTCTTTCTGAAAGCCAACAACATGCGCTGCGGAGAGGCGGATGAAAGAGGAATGGGGCCTGGCACCCGACGCGGCGCCGGCTCGCTTGTGTCGCCCATGCGCCGTGCGTGGGATTCGAACAATTCGGCAAACTTGCCATTTGGTGACCATGAGAACCAGGGACTTTGCAGAAGGAGTCGCTTGGCGCTGGCCAACCGGCTCTTAGACTTGCAGCAGCAAGCTGCGGTGCTCCCGCTGCCGTCGACCGACGCTGGTCAAGATTTTCTTAGGCCAGATGGCCATTTCAGAAGGCCTGAGAACACACAAGGTCGATATGTGCTGTTTGGGTCTGGTTGCGCATTATTCCACATGGAGTGGCTATTGCAAAGCGCCGCGTCATAATCGTTCTAATCCTTCACTCTGCGCCCGTCAGCGTGTGCCTCCAGACTTCAGCTTGAGGCTACGCCACCTTTTGCGTTTTTTGTGCTTCTTGAGGCAGGAAGCCTAAATCTGGCAAAGGCGAAAGCCTTAGTCATTTGGGGGAAATCCTGGATCCACATCAATCCCAAAAGACACATCAGAGTTGTTCTTAAAGTCACGACACACCCCACCAGCAAAAAGGGGGTGCCAGACAAACAGCGGATTCCCTTCCCCCCCCCCCCGCCAAAAAAGAGTCACCAACCCCCCACCAAAACCAACCTCCTCCCCCGTCTCCCCATCCCCCCGTCCCCCGGTCCCCCCGGTCCCCCCGTCCCCCCCCCCGTCCCCCCCGTCCCCCCGTCCCCCCCCGGGCCCGTCCCCCCCCCCCCCGCCCGTCCCCCCCATCCCCCAACCCCACATTGGGCCCTCCGGGCGCCAGGCCACCAGCGCGGAGTACCTAGTGGCTCTACTTTGCCAGGGCTTCCGCGTCCAGGTGGCAAGGCAGCTGCTGAGGACCGCTTTCTGAGGGGGGAGGGCGGGTCTGCAAACGAGGGCCATATGGGTGGCTCGTTTTTGTTGAGGTTGGAGCCTCCAAAACAGCGATGTTTCTTTTGGGTTTCCCTTGAACCGCAAAAAAGGGGGACCCTCAAAGAAAGACACACCCATTATATATATATATATATATACAGACATGTGTATATATATATACACATATATACATATATATTTAAGCCAATCATTTGCAGGGGAAGCTTTCCAAAAAGGGGGACGCGTTTGTGTGAGTGGCTGGTCAGGCTGGATAGAGCATGGCACCAGGAGAGCGCCGAAGAGTCCATGCCTCAGTGAGCGGTTGAAGCAGTTGAGCCAAGCCAAAGGATCGGAAAGCTGAATCTGCCATGTACCAGCTTCTAAAGTCGCAGCTGTGCAACAACCTCAGTTTTGTGGGTAAGATGAGAATGCTACAGCTTCCCTTCTTGAGCAGTTTGTTGGGTACAGAGAGAGCCGTCATCTACATGCAAAGGGCTAACAGACTGGACTTCCAGTCTGACACTACCGGAAGCTACGCAAAGGTTGAGGTTGTCTATGTGGGGAAAAGAGACAGGTGTTGCTTGCAACGCTGTGGTCAAGAAGCAAGCAGCTCCTTCAAATGGAAAACTGAGGTTAATCATGGCTGCGGGTTGCCTCCCCCTTCCTTGAGGTAGGAGCGCGTACACCCAGTGCCAAAATGATGCATCCCACAAGCAGGGAAGTGATGCCAGCTGCACCCCTTCCTTTGCTTGATAGAAATCCGCCACCCGTGGGTGAGCGAATGTGCTTTCAACAACCTGGCCGCAGCCCCCTTTCAAGGAAAGCTTGTCTTGGGATGCTCAAACAAAAGTGGTTTGATTATTTTCAAGCAGGAGGTTGGCAGCCAATCCTGCACATAGGTGTTCTATTAGGTCAGTTTGGTTGAACATAAATGGAATCCGACCCTGTTTCACTTTGGTCCTATTCATCTACGTCATGTTCCATTAATAGCTGGGTGTGTTTTGTTGAGGGGTCCCCCTTTTGGGTTGGTGTCCAGGTGCTTCCCAAAAAGTAAACAGCCGTTTTTGGAAATGGATTCCATGTTTCCCAGGGTTTCCCAAAAGGAAACGCCTGCCACGTCAAGTCCGGTTGCCGGGAAGCCTTCCCAGGATTCTGACCCAAACCCCGCGCCCCGGTTCAAGGCCACACGGAGGGCTTCGTCACCTGGGAAGGCGTGGCATCGAGAGGAGCGGAGACAAAAATCCACAAAAGGACTAACAGAGGTGGCTCTGCTTCTTCTTGTGCTTCTTCTTGTGCTAGTGCTAGTGCTCGTGCTCGTGCTAGTGCTGCTACTACCACCACCACCACCACCACCACCACCACCACCACCACCACCACTAGTACTACTACGACTGCGCTGCTGTGACTACTGCTACCTGGCTTCATGGGGGTGCAACAAAGGGGCCTGTGCCAAACGTTGTTGACCCGGGATTCTGTGTAAGCATGTGTTGTGTGTGGGGCGTGTGGGGTTTGGTGGGATCAACCTGAGGCGGAGAGGCCGCTGCGCTGAGGAGCCGCGCCAGCCCGGCTCCCTGCTTCCAGGTTCGTTGGCCAGCCCAGTCGGCAAAACAAGGGACCCTTTGACTGACTTCCTGAGATCCTGGGCTTGAAACGTGTTGGGGCTGGACCATTCTAGTGGTAAACAGCAGGTTTGGACCTTTTTGGGGCCATCCACTCAGGAAGCGAGTTGCATGTTTTGAACGGCTGCCTTGTTTGGTGCGCGATGTTAACACGGACACCCCTTCCCAAAAACCAGACGCATGTACTACAGTAGGTGTCGATTTCAAGGGAAGCCAAAAGGAAGCCAAAGCAACCCGGAGGTTTTGGTAGGATGATTTTTTGTTGAAGCCTATTAACAAGACAGGAAGCCACCCGGATGGGGCCGACTCTTTTTGAGAAGACCTGACCATGCGGATGCTTCCTAAGATGAAGCCTTAAGCAAAAAACAAGCTGGCTTCCTGTCGGGTTCGCTTCCTTCACCCATGTGTCCTGCACCATTTGATGAGAGATGAAGACCACTGTGGCGCGAGTGGCTGTGACGGGCTTCCAGAAAGCTGTGCCTTGAGCTGCAAAGCTTGAGCCCAGGTCTTTGGACCATGCTGGCAGAATCCTCTTTGCTGCTTGGCCAGGCAGCACAGGCGGGTTTTGAGAGGGCTCAGTTTCCTGGAGAAGTTTAGAAGAGGACAGGGACCTATGCCAAGGTCAGTTTTTGACTTGTTTCTTGGGAGGCGGGGACCTACATACTGTTGACGGACGAGATCCTGCACCGCTTTCGCCATGGTTGACAAAAAGCTTCGCGCTCCGCATTTAGCATTGGATGTTTAATTAAGGACCGCTAGCTGCAAACATGTTGGAATGACCGAAATCCTGCACCACGTTTTGTGAATGTCAGGGAGCGGGGTGTGCGGCCTCTTCAGTGGCAAGAAATGGAGTTGGGAGAGGCGGTGCAAGATTTCGTCCGTCAGCCGTATAACACAAAAACTGTGTTCCTTTCTTCTGAGTGGCAAACGCCAAGCAAGGCTAGAGGAAAGAAGAATCTGGCACATGTGATTCCCTCTTTGTCCAAATGTCTTCAGGCGGAGGTTGCACATGGGGCTCTTGATTTCAAGGGGTACTCTATATTCACAGCCTGGCTTACTGGAAATGGGGGGTCAATCATCCCCAAAATGAGGGTCCATCCCAAACCATCCAACTCACCACCGAAAAGGGGGGCACACACACACACACACCACCCCTAGTTGGCAGCAGCCTCATGTCTCCTCCACTCCTGAAGGGTACAAAGCATAGGTGTCCTCTTAGATCAGTCAGGTTGAAAATAGATGGGTGGCTTGACTTGAGGTTGGTTCTACGCATTTGCCAGTGCCATCTATTTTCCCAAAGGATGCCCCAGGCGAGTGTCAGTTCCGTCCAGGCCCGGAAAGACTTGGGTCGCGCCCGGAGGCTGCGCCGCAAGGCAGGCGTGAGGGTTTACACATGGGGCGACTTAGGTGATGAGGTGAGTCTGTCTCGTCCGTTCGTGGCCGTTTGGTCGAAGGCGACATCGTTTGTTGCCAATGCAAAGAGGGGAGAGAGAGAGAGAGAGAGAGAGAGAGAGAGAGAGAGAGAGAGAAGTAGAGAGAGAGAGAGAGAAGGAGAGAGAGTGAAGGAGAGAGAGAGAGAGAGAGGCAAGGGGCCACATTGAAGCACGGCATGTCGCACATTGTGAATCGCAGGGTGGCCAAGCAGAGCAAAAAACCAGGGACGCATGCAACTATGCTGCTAAAGATGAAGATGAAGATGATGATGATGATGATGATGATGATGATGATGATGATGATGATGATGATGATGATGATGATGATGATGATGATGATGATGCTGATGCTGATGATGATGCTGATGCTGATGCTGATGCTGATGCTGATGCTGATGCTGATGCTGATGATGATGATGATGATGATGATGATGATGATGATGATGATGCTGATGATGATGATGATGATGATGATGATGGTGAGGATGCTGATGATGATGATGATGATGATGGTGAGGATGCTGATGATGATGATGATGATGATGATGATGATGATGATGATGCTGATGCTGATGATGATGATGATGATGCTGATGCTGATGCTGATGCTGATGCTGATGCTGATGCTGATGCTGATGCTGATGATGATGATGATGATGATGATGATGATGCTGATGATGATGATGATGATGATGGTGAGGATGCTGATGATGATGATGATGATGATGATGATGATATGATGATGATGATGATGATGATGATGATGATGATGATGATGATGATGATGATGATGATGATGGTGATGATGGCAAAACGAGTAGGAAGAGGAACAGAAAGCTGGGTGTTTCGTGTTTCGCTGTTTTGAAATTAGTTTCTCACATGGCATCTGCCCCGGTTTCACGCGCCCACCTTCTATATAGTTGTTCAATGCAGCCCCAGAAACATGAATCATCACTAGAGGATCAAAGCCCATCCCCACTCCATAAGCCATCAGGTTTGGATGAACTGATAACTATCCCTCTAGAGCTCGTGTGAATGTGGAGGGTCAGTCAACCGCCCTCCAGG